GTATGTGTGACATTTTAGTCTTTGCTCATCTGCAAATGAGAAGCATTTCTCAAGTGAGTAAAGGTTCAAGATCTGTGTTTTCAGTCATCTTATCGATGAGAAGCAGAAAAAAATTATATTGGAAGTTAGATATAAAAAAATTTCTCCAAAACATTGCATGGTTGTCTAAGCCAAAATAGAAAAAATAATGAAGTTTGCTTTAACTACTGAGAAGTAAGAATTCAGGTGAATTATTCACTGAGTAAACTTTGGAATGATAAAGTTATTATTAAGTATAAATTTGATAATTCTCTTTGCAAATTTTCTTTTTTAGGGTGCAGATTTATCCCATGTGTTTTGTACCAAAGATGCAGCAACAGTAATCAAATCATATAGTCCAGAGCTGATTGTTCATCCAGTTCTGTAAGTGACTTACCTTTTGTTTAAATGAGCAAGTCAGGATTACCAGTTTGAACGTTTCAGTCTGACAGTTGATTAGTTTGCATTATTTCTTTTTCTGAGTTACAGGATGGGTGAGCTGGAGATTACAAAAACTCCTGGGTTTGTCCTTTCATCACAGTTAGATATTTAATATAGAACAAGCAGTTGTGATTTTTTTTTTCATTACTATCAAAGTACAGTTTTTTAAAAAGCAAAGATCTTGCTTTCTGCTACTTGCTGACATGTGTTCTGTGATTGTAATGCGTTTAACTGTGAACAGTAGCAAAATCCAGAACTAAGAATCACTACAAGTCAGCATTTTAGAGTCTGTGTTTGAAAGGCAAATAGAGTATGTTCTCTTGCTTCTTCAGTCCTAGTAGTATTTAACAGTAGTGTATCTTTTTTCCTCTCACTGCTGTGTATATAGTCATTTATGCAAAATTACGCAAGAGAGATGCTGATTCTCATTTTTCTCATAAGTATGTTGCATTAGATACACGCCTGTTCCTGGGAATAAATGGATGTTCTAAAATGATCTAAAATATAGGCTTTATTAACAAGAAGATGAAAAGTTTAATAAGCAACTGTCCTAATTGGGAAAATCAGTGTGTGCTTCCCTGAATTTGTGTGCTGAAATATGTTACTGATTGGTGAACTTCTACAGGATAAATTGTTTCAATTGGGTGTTATGATGGTTTACAATGAGCACTGCGAATGAGAATTAAGATGTGTGCCTTAGGTATATGTCCCTGAGCTTAGCTTGCACCAGTGCATGTCAAAGTCTGTTGGTGTACATCGCAAAGCTGTGATTAAGCTAGAAAAAGCATAATTTAAAATCGTGTTTGTCAGATATTGCTGTCAGGAAGGATTTATGACAGTAGAGATATTTCGGTGTCCGAGAAGAAGAATATGATCTCCCTTATGGGGACACCTGAGGTTGGAAGCCATAAGTTTATTACATTCTAAGGGTGGGTTTCATTCCTGTCGGTGTAGAGAGAGGTGCTTAGAAAGAAGTCAGTTAAACAGACAGATACCAAGGTTGTGTTTTGTTGCTGGGGTTCCCTCCCCCACCCCCCAAGATAGAAGAAACCCATGACTTTGTGGATTTTAGACAGGGAAAAAATGATGTTTGAAAGCAAGGGGAAGATACGAGGGTAAGGTTTTTATCAGTCTGACTGCATTAGCCTCTAAAATCCAAAAGGCACATTTTCAGTTGATGTTCTGTCTGGTCTCACATGATAACAAATGAGATGGAGAGTCTTAATGGCAATATTAGCTTGTAACTTAGGTTGTCTTGGTGGATGACACTTGGGATACAGCATATGGTTGTCTTGTATGGGAAGGGGTTGACCTTGCCCTGGGAGAAGCATTTTTCGTATACGCAGGGTTCTTGATGTCTTGATGAAAAGGTTAATAGGAGAAACAGAAACAGCATAGAGAAAAAGGGAGGTCACAGTGTGTAAACAGTAAAATTTCTGTTCGTGGAAGACCAGGTTGTGCCTACTAAATAAGGGGGGTTTTCATATATCTAGATATAGATATATATTTATACACAGATTTTTAAGTGTCTACCAAAAAAAGATACATATTTATACACAGATTTTTTAAGTGTCTTCTGTGGAATTCAGATCTCAATGAAAACTCTGATCTTTCTATTCGCAAAGAGAGCTTTTGATTTTAAACTTCAGCTCTGTCTATAAATTCCTCCAGATGTACAAAGTACAGTGAATCTAGAAATCTTCATATCCATATAGCTTTAAGCCTGAAACTCAATGTTTAATACTTTTATTACAACTCTGATTAATTTCACCCAGACAGCTGGCTAATTGCATGAAGCAATGGATCTGTAAATATTGTTTATATGACATTCAAAATGAAGAAATGAAAAAATGCAAATATCAGAATGTTGAGATTTTGCTTGTTAAATTTTCTCATATTTTTATCTCTTCTGCTTCATTTGAGGAAAAGAGAAAACAGTCTTTTCTGGTTAGAAAGGAAAAAAATCTTGACTGACTCTATTGAGCCCAGGTTTTATTCAAATTTACACAAACAGCCTATTTTTCTCGTAAGGTCCTTTATCTTCAGTGTCACACTTTTCATATGATCTTTTATATGTTGTGGAGCTGTTCGAGTTCTGCAGGCACGGCTGGCCGCTCTTGATTCAGAGCCTGATCTCTTAAACAGTCTTTGTACTTTCTCCCGGGCTGCACTTCACGCATGGAAGAACCTCCGGGTAAAACCCACCGAGCAGCTACGTCATTGTTTTCTTTTGTGTCTCTCCTTAAAACTTTGCTTTGTTATGATTTCTCCATGACCCTTCAGAGTAACTAGGTAGCCGTTGTACCACTCTCTTATTATGCTAATCATAATTATGGCCCCGTGTACTCCTCAATTCACTGTTTGAACAGCTTGGCATTTCGCCAGGGTTCAGCTGCCATTTTGTACTGCCAGGAGTCTGACATTTTATCATCTCCTCTGTGACTTGGCTGCCGCTACCTTTCCCTACTGCCTTCACATCACAGGGGATCACCTCAAGGGAAGAACGTGCTCTATTTTGCTGCTGCCCCCTGAATGCGAGGGCTCTTCTGGCTCGTTAGAGCTGCTGTCGCGGACCTTTGATGGCATGCCTAGCGAAGGTATATGAGAGCTAGAAGTTGCACTGTTGCGTTTCAGGTCCTTGTCAAATGTCTGTCACTTCAAGGATGCGAGGAATGTTATGTGAGAAAGATTGAATAGGATTGCAGAAGGAGGGTTATGAAAACGGGCATCCATCTTGCAGCATTGCCAGGGCAGTTCCATGTGGCCCCCAGCTGCAGACCATCCCGGGATTCCTTTTGGTGTAACATCCCGTGCTGGGGACACCCGTAATGCAACTTTCTCTGTGTTTTTTGTCTCATGACTTCATTCCCTGTTCCTGTGAGCGAAGGTAAGAGAGCTGGGACTGCATGTGGCAGCCTGGGATCTGGAAAGACAAAGCTTCAACACCTGGCTCTGTGCGTCCTCACCACCTGAGCTGAATAATGATAGCTGAGTGTCTAGGGGCCATGAAGAGTCAGTATTACCAATAGTAGCTTTTCCTTTTTATTCAGGGATTCTGTCAAATGCATTACGGCCCTTTCCACGACGACTTGGTATTAATGAAAGTATTAATTAAAAACTGACCAGCTAACCAGTTCAATATTTTTGCTGACTGACTTTTTGCTTTCCTGTGGAGAAGTGAAAAGTGTGTATTGCAGAAGTTGGGGTCTTTTGAATAGTGGAGTATACCGAGTCTTGGTCACAGCTGCCTTGCTCTTGTCACCACTACCCCCAGTTTGTGCTACATTTTTCTGTTTTCTCAGCTAGCATGCTCCTACTGTAAACTCTACACAAATACAGACAATTTTTCTCAGCTAACGTGCTTCTACTGTAAACTCTACACAAATACAGACAAGATAAAACTTAGCTTTTGTATTTTATTAAGTTTTATTGCAGGCGTTTTCTGTGTGGGTTTCTGATGTGTACATACTTTCTTGCATTAATTTTGGGAACTTTCTAGAGAACAGTTTTTAGGGGCTTTTTTTATATTCCTCATGTTAATTCCTGGCTCAGGTCAGGTTGAATAGACTTCTTCGGTACTTGTGTTGGCTTAGCTTATCCTGTCTTGATAGGCAAGTGATCACAGAGTTAAATGAGCTATAGGAACCCAGCTGGTTATATTTTAAAAGGAGAGAGAATAAATCTGTTGTGTTAGATTCCCCTCTTGCAAGGACTTTTTCATAATCTTACAGAGTTTTTCTTTCTCTGTAGGCCAGGAAGGATCGAGATACTGCTGAGTTGCCCACTTGTAACCTAGCTGTCGGACAATTTGTAAAGTCAATAGTCAGTATACTCCTTGATCTCCGGAGTTTTATCAGAGAAGCAGAATGAGATGTCAGGTCATTAATTTCTTGTGGTCCTGAAGAAGTCATGTAATTTTTCCATTATCTCAAAAAAAGTCACCCTTGAACTAGGTATGGATTTAGAACTAAAACCTTCCGCCCAGCTGGTTGTATCTATGGGTCTGTATAGATGAGGAAGGATTGCCAGAATTACTGAAAGTCTTATAGTTAATCGCAGAGTTCAAGTTTTGGTTTGGATTTTGAAAAATATGATTCTTTTCAGTTTGAAATAAAAGTAACTGGGCAGAAAACTCTCATGAGGCTGGCCTGTGTGTTGAGGCCAGTTACCGTTAATGAAGCAGCTTAGCTTAGATCAGGGTTGCTGGGACGTATCTTACCTGGTTTTACTGGCTTTTGTCTATGTTTTGATGATTCGAAAAAATCATGAAAGTGAATCATGGGTAGCGAGCTCCTGATAAGTTACTTGAGCACTTTTAACCAGTGCCAAGTCTCTTAAAGAAAGCCCAGGAACAATCTTAAGATTTTTGGCCCTTTCTAATTCATTATGTGGAGCGGAGATTCATTATGTGGGAGAAAGCTCATACCTTTTAGTTGTGTTAGCTAAAGATAGCTATTAAACGCTTCTGTGTAAGGTGGGACTAACCACTCTTCTGAATCAGTTGCTGGAAGAAGTGCAAGAATTCTTGTCACGAGGGGAAGTCAAGGAGAAAGCAGATTGCTCCGATTACCAAAAAGATGCCTCCCATGTGACTTGGCTGCTGGATCGCTATTATACCTGCAGAGAAGATGCAAGCATAAACTTTGTGATCTTTCTCCCAAACCTCATTTAGACAGCAGCCTACCTAGGAATTACATAAGAAAGTTTTTGGGTTTTTTTTTCCTAAGTACTTAGGGAGCGATAAAGGTCAGTTTGTGTCTGCTGACTCAGGGAAGTATACTTAAACTGTTTCTAATCCTGTCGTGCAGTGCCATGGGCAAAACTTGCTTATGGACCTGCTTCCTGTGTGTCCAGCTTTCTTGGCAAAAAGCTGTGGCTTCTTTGCTGTATGCTGCAGAGTGAATAAAAGACGGGAAGTGTATTCATCCCATGCTGTAGTCCCT